AACTGAAGGGTGATGTCGTTGTCTTTATTCCAGGTATAATTGAGATGAACAGAGCTCATTAAAAATTGAAATGCATAGTTTGGAGAGGAAAAGGGGCACCTAGAGCTCTCTCATCCAAATATTGTATTTTAGCAAGCAGAACTCTGCTGTTTTAGCAAGTGTATGTACAACCACTACTGCCAAACAATAAATAGAACATTTGCAAGTAAGTGCCTGTATTGAAAATAAAATTTTAACTTTTTTTAAAAGTCTGGAATGTGAATAACATCATCTAGCCCGGGAACGTAATGTAGCTGTGGGTCAAGGGGCAGCTTGGCTGTGGTCAGCAAATCGCAGACCTGTTCTGAGTGTGTGCGTCACCCTTGGTGGGGGATAGGGTTTCTGAAACACAGTGTTAATAAAGTAACTGTTTACAGGCCAGAGGGGGGAGTTCTCAGTATAATATTTAAGAACAAATAAACAACCTCCTCTGTCCAGTGCTGCCAGTAAACTTCTGTGGTGTTTCCAGCTCCGCTCAAGGGAGGGAAATGGTGATGCACATCCCAACAGGGTCAGTTGGACAAGGAGGCTGAGATCCTCCTGCATGGGAGCAGAGGATGGGGAGTGGGCAGCTTCACCCTCTCACCCACCCTGGGGGTTTGTGGATTTGGACAATAACACTGTCAGGGCCTGACCTCATAGCTGCAGCCCCCCCAGAGCTGGAGGTGACATGGCTCTCTGTCTGCGTTACGCTTCCTAACCTCCTCTACTGGGTGGGCTGGGGGAGTGCTGGTACCGTTTTTACCAAGGACACTAATTAACCTGCTCAATGAGTGTATCCCTTCAGACTGCGCACCAGAGAACTGAGTTATCTAAAATACCATCCCAAAGAGAGCCGTAATTAGCAGCCAGCGCTGAGGCCAGCCCCTGTGCTTCCCAGCGATGGCTTGGCAAGGTGGTGGGGGCTGGTGGCTCGGTGCTGGTGTGGTCCCTCACCCCCAGACACCGTCCCTGGGTCATACATGGCATAGCACCAGGCTCTTTGTCACATGCCGCATCCCCTTCCCTGCTCACGGGCCACGTCTTGCCTGCGGAGTTCCTCTCCCCCTGCTCTCGGACCCGCTCCCACGCTGCACCGAAATAACGCGGGGACAGCAGTAAGGATTGGGATGCAAGTCATTGCTCGACTGCCCTGGGACACAAAGAAGTCGCGCTCCCCGAGCTGCCTGCCAAACCAAAAATACTCACTTTTAATAACCGGACTAAGCAAAGTAAAAAACCAGCTCATTGCTGGCTGCCAGATTAACAGATGGCCACGATCATTAATATTGCAAAACTTCAGGAGTTCATAATTCTTTAATCTACAAAGCCGGTGGGGGTAGCTAATGGGGGCCCTGCAATCTGCCGCGCTGGGGGCTGCCGCCCACCCACCCACCGCGGCCACAGCCCTCCCAGACCCCCGAGATGTGGGCACGTGTGGCCTTGGTCCTGCCTGTCCGGCCAAGACAGCTCCCTGCCTGCCTTGGCAGAGCCCGCTGCCAGGCAGACGCTGCCTGCGGAATGATGAGCTCAATGAACCCCCCCAAACTTAAGGCTGGTGTCCATGGTGGGTCCTAAATGCGCCGGGCGCTGCCCTGCTGCCGCGCAGCTTTGCCGGCCCCGCTCAGCCCTCGCTGCCGTCAGATTGCGGAACATCCACGGAAATCCAATAACCCGTCTCCAGTGTCATTTTATCGTTAAAGCCAAGCCTTTCCCATAATTGTTTGGAGGCAGCGCAGGGAGATTACGATTGATGTCAACAGCCAGATAATCTGCAGTTCAGCGTTCGGTATCGCTGACCTCGTTAATAGGTGCTGGACATGTTTGGAGCACGGGGAGCATGCCCTGAGCCACAGCCGCCCCCAAAGGCTGTTTGCAATGAAGAAAAGCCCAGCATTGGTGCTGCAATTAAAAAAAAAATGTATACTTCTTATTTCCTTTTGGTGAAAAACCTTGTGCTGCGGCTCCAGCGGGCTCAGGGCTTGTCCCCAAACAGCTCCATCGATCCCTGGCCAAGCCCCAGACTCCAGCATCCTCTCTCGGAGAAGAGCGGAGGGCCGGTGGCTCCGTGAGGCTGCTGGGGAGGCTCTTACGGCTATCGATCGCCCGTGGAGGATGAAGGCTGGGAGGGGAGCCCGGCTCGGCCCCGGCCCCGCGCGTTCATCGCCGTCCTGCTCCCAGCGTGTTCTCGGCACAGGGGCTGCCAGGGCTTCTCCTTCGCCCACACCGGCGCTGCAGGGCATCAGCATCCTGCGCGGGAGAAATGGCTCCGGTGGTTTAATGCTATAAAGGCTTCTGCCTGCTGGAAGATGCACCCTATACACCTTTCTCTCTGCGGATTGATATATTATATATTATATGTATATATGTATTATATTTATGTATGTTATATAGTATATAGTATATACATAACATAATATAATATAATGTAATAAATAAAATATAATATACATGTAATTATAAATACACACATGCATATACTATGAATATACCTATTCAACCTCCATACATATGATATATATGCATATATGTGTATGTACGTATGTGTAAACATATACGTGTATATACACACGCACTCTCTTTTCTTTTTTTAATATGTGTGTCTATTAAACATTCCTACGTGTTTGTATACTGGGAGGAGTGGGGCCCGGGTGTGTTTTACAGAGGACCAAGAGCCCCTCGGAGGGACACAGGCCCTGGGCCCCCAGGGAGGGGCAGGAAGGAGGGGGGTCTCAGGCTGGGGTTTGGGCAGTTTTTATTTGTGGAAACCTTACTTTGCTGCTTTTTTTTTTTTTTTTAAGCGCAAAGCTGCTGCCACCATAATTACCTGAAGTTTTTTTAATTGATTATTTAATGCAGGGCGGGGGTGGTGGGCGAGGTGGGGTTTTTTTCACTTTGTGGTTTTGCCTTTGCATCAATTACATTGCCTTTAATTGGGTAACGACTGTTAGTGGGCTTTTGTCCCTCCCTGTAAGTCACACATTATTATTTTTCAATAATAGCACTTTGCCCCTTGTGCTGCCCCTGTCCCTTCACCCGCCATGTGCTTAGTCTCCAACCGCTCACTTTTTGCATTTATCTTCTTTTTTGATTTTTTCCTTTTTTTAACCTGCCCCTCCCCGGGTGCGCCCCTGGTACTCTCTGCCCCGGGCTCCACCAGCCCCAGGGAAGCAGGAGGAAACTCGAAATCCAGGGGCAGCACAGCTGGAGCAGCTGGGGAAAGCCATGGAGGGGGGGGGCTGGCTTTCCTGGGGATGCGGGCTGGGATGCAGGCAGGGATGGGGGCAGGGATGCAGGCAGGAGCAAGGCCTCCCTGCGTTGCCCGCGTGTCCCACCACGCGTTACCCCCTCACCCTCCTTGGGGCCCTTCGGTCCCTTAGGGCTATGGGGGAGGCCGGAGTAACGCCGTTTTGGCAGCTCGGCTGCCGGGTACCGGGATGCTGCCTCCATC